GTAGGGTGAAAACACGGAAATAACAGTGACTTACTGTACTTTTCACTGTACAGCGACAAATTTTACAGGAGTGGCTGTAGGTTTTTCTGGCAGTGGAGGTCTGGAACTTCGGCATAGAGCAGGGCCCCTCGTTGGAACTCATGTCGAAGCTCGGGAAGAGGCCTGCTGAGTCCATGTCACCTGGATGGGCAGAGAGCAGTCTGTCAGAAAGCTGCGGAGAACACTGAAACGAAACCTGTACGATGACAAACCTGAAACAATGAATAAGAGAGACGAAAATGACTCTTCAAAGAATTATCAGACAGAAAGGACAAGAAAAGAATTACCTAGGATAAAATGCAATGAAACGTATTTAATGGCTGATGTTACAGTATAATGGAAGCCCAACACCTCTCCATATTGACTAATTAGTACGTTGGAATACAGGCAAATAATGATAAAATATGTCACAAATATACATAAATAAACCTACAGGAACTGTAACAAGAGAGGCCCCGGTAGAGAACCCTAGGTATCCAGTCTATATTTTGTAAACGATCCAATGGCTACGTCCATCATCAAATATAATATACACAAAAAGGTAACATTTGTTCGCAAAAAAAGTAATTAAGTTAAAAAGGGCAAAAACGACGATCGCTATAAAGTGGTTTCTGTCATAGGCCCCATTTTCCCGCAGGCCCCGGTAGCCCTGGAATACCCGGAAGACCAGACAATGCAGGGTGTCCCTGGGGTCCCAAGGGTCCTAAAGTTCCAGAGGGTCCGGAGGGTCCTGGGGGTGCTAAGGACCCAGACGGCCCCGTAGACCCCGGGGCCCCGACAGGTCCTCCATGACCCGGAGGAGGTTGGCTACAGTTCTCCTGGAGGAACTTCTGCAGCTCGTGATCACGGCGGTGCACCTGCGCGTGGTAGTCCTGACTGCTGCGATGCCTGAACGTCTTGGGGCAATGCGGGCACTTGTACGGCTTCTCGCCCGTGTGCAAGCGGTAGTGCACGGCCAGGTGCTGCTTCATCTTGAACTTTGCCGGGCACACGTTGCACCACCAACGCCGCTCCGGGTCATCGGCAGAGGAAGAGGAGCTCCGGCTGTTGGGGCCGACAGCGACCCCCTCCGGCATCGCCCGGAACAGGTCAGAGCGCAGCATGATGCTCAAGTCCTTGGATGAGAAAGGCATGGCCTGGCCGGACGCACTCCACACACCTGTCGACATAAAGAACAACCAGTTAGAGACGAGAAGACGACTCCCTGACCTCACCTGTGAGTGACGCACGGAGAAGGTAGAGAAGGGGTGAGTGGGAAATAAGATTCAGTTCCACTTCAACTATGAAACATGTATTTTCGACAAATCATTTCACAGAGTCTCGGAGTGAGCCTTCAGCACGTGGGCTCTGTGGTTGGCGCGGAAGCCGAAGCACTCTCCACACAACTGACAGCAGTAGGGCTTCTCGCGGGTGTGCACGCGAAGATGGTCGCGCAGCGTACCGGGCCGCGCGAAGCTCTTGGAGCACACGTGGCACTTGTAGGGCCTCTCACCCGTGTGCGTGCGCATGTGCACCACCAGGTTGGTCGAGACGGAGAACGCCTTCGCGCAAATTTTACTCGAGAACGCCTGTGCAGTCTTTTTAGGGGCGGCGGAGTTATCGCATTTGTGCGAAGCGTCACCATCCTCCCCATCTACCGACGAACCACACGACTGACACAAGTCCTCGGATACACCACCTGCAGACAGACAAAAGCATTGAGAGACTTCACAATTGCAAACAATAGTCGCGAAGCAGGCAAACTTAGGGACCACACAAACGGTAGACATAAAATAAAGACAATTCGAAATATTTATTGTAGAAAAGCTACATGCAAACTTGTAAAATTTATGAAAACACAGACACAATTGATATTGTTGGAATGTAAATTACACGACACGACATTTCAGACTTGACAAGAGGATTATAAAACACAGTAACACAGTAACACGAGTAACACACTAGAAGGACTGGCGCCCGGGCCGCTCCGAGGCGTGGCGCCGCTCGTGCAGCAGCAGGTGGTCGCGGCGCCGGAAGCGCGCGGAGCAGCGGCCGCAGCCGTAGGGCAGCTCGCCCGTGTGCAGCAGCACGTGCCGCGACAGGTGCGCGGCACGCTTGAAGCGGGAGCCGCAGGTAACGCACACGTGCGGCCGGTCGGCCTGCTCGCCCAGGTGGGCCTCCTTGCGGTGCTTGAGCAGAGCGCGCCTTGACCTGAAGCCGCGCTCGCCGCACTCGGGGCACGACGGCAAGTCCTTCAGCGTCATCGTGCCGTCCGCCTCCACGTCCCACACCTTGAAGGCGTCGTCATCCAGCGGGTCTGCAAAAGAGAGAGGCTGGGTGGACATGAGACCGTCCGGGTTTGAAACTGGATCGAGACTGGAGGACATGAGACTGGACATGAGACTATCCGAAGTGCCGAAGGGGTGCAGGTGTGACCGCATACGACGACCACCGGGCCCAGTCTCATGTCTGAGACGAGCAGTCTCATGTCTGTGACCAGCAGTCTCATGTCTGCGTCCGAGACATGAGACTGCTTGCCTCAGACATGAGACTGCTTCACTCAGACATGAGACTGCTCCTCTCAGACATGAGACTGGGCCCGCTGGCTGTGGTCTGGTGTCCTGCGGTCACACCTGCACCCCTCCGGCACTTCAGCCAGTCTCATGTCCAGTCTCATGTCCTCCAGTCTCAAACCCGGATGGTCTCATGTCCATCCAGCCAAGAGAGAAACATGGGTGGTTAGCGGTGCGTTGATGGAGAGGGGATGGGGAGTGGGGGCAGTTAGTGTGACTGTGTGTGTGTGTGTGT